ATTACTCAATTTGATTAAATCTAAATAAACTAAATTATAAAAAGATAAATAATAAAAATAAAAACTCACTCTTGTTTATTAATATGCACTCCAAATAGAGTAGGTATAGCATCTGGGTGAAGACGAGCTCTAATTTTGTTAATATTGTACCATTTTTTTTTCAAAATGTAAATGGCACAAACAGCAATTGTGATAGGCATATTCTGGACCTTTGGGTTCTAAATCCAGCCTTCCACATGCTCGTATCCACTGCATCCATCTATATACATATAAATATATACACATTGTGACGTGACACTTTGTGTCCGTCACTCGTAAGTGCATTGGCACGGAGATCCTGTGTCCTCTAAACTCGAAGGGCGAGGGCACAAGCGAGCGTGACAAATTTATATCTTTTTTTTGTTTCGTTTTGTATATTTTTTTATATAAAATATTTAGTAATTGTATAATAATTAGTCAAACGTTCATCATTTATTTCATGCATCAGTCCGCGAGGATTGTATTCGCGGCATGCACGGTCTCGCGTCATGATCGCATGCCTAATTGCTTTCGGCGCGACACGTATCATTGGAGAGGACGTACAGAGCTCTCGTGTACGCACAGAGGGAGCACGAGTTCGCTTTTCCGCTACGAAACAACGAGAATATTCGAGGGCAATTCGACGTGTGACTTCCTTCGCATAACAACGCACTTTTGTATCTCGGTGTACGGTCACAAAGTTAATTAGAAATAAGAGAAAGCCAACTTGCTTGTCTCGACCGCATCGCTACCGATCAGGATTACTCCGGTGGCACGTGTGACGGGCACATGCTCGTGGCGGCATTCGCCGTTTGTTATACATCGTGTTTTTGGTCCTTCGAGCCGGATACTCTAAGTCATCCGCGTTCACTGGAGATACAACCATTAATAAGCGGAACTTCCATCGCCAAGGAAGGAAGGTATCCCGCCATCAATAAGCGGAACTTCCATCGCGAAGGAAGGAAGGTATCCCGCCATCCACGAGCAAGGATTCCACGTCGAAGGAAGGAAGGTATCCCGCCGACAACGGCGGAACTTCATCCAAGGGGAAGCAGGAAGAAATCCCGTCGACAACGGCGGAACTTCGTGCGAGGGAAAGGCATTCCGTCTCTGAGGGACGAAACCCCCCGCCATCCTCTACTCATCTCAACGCTCGAGCGCGGCTCATAACCTCAAGGTGTCAGAGCTACGGACAACGAGCTGCATTCTCATCGTCAGCTGCCACCATCATTCAGAGGCACGCCGAGGACAGCACATTCAAGGCCGCTTCCACGAGGAGGTCGCCACCGGAAGTCGTCAACAAAAGCGCGGCTGCACAGTACCGGTAAGGAAAACTGTTCGCGGTAGTGCCGACGAAGTTCCTTGTTACGTCTGTTTTAAGCAGGTTAGCTCGCGATGACGTCTGCGCAAGATATCAGTGTGCTCAAAAAACATAGAGCGATCGTTAAGGACGCGTGCACGCGGATTCACACATATATCGATGCGATTTCTTTTGCCACTCCGGCTATTGCTGCTCAGCTTGAGGAACGTAGAATCAAGTTAGACGAATATTGGTCACAATACAACGCAATACAAGCGGAGATAGAATTGCTTGACGAAAATGAGGGCAATGACCGGATCGGCTTCGAGGAAGCGTATTATTCGCTTTGCGCAAAGATTCGCGAACTTCTTAATCCATTATCAGCTCCGCGGGCGCAACCGACACAACCGTATTCACCGTCTACGTCGAGCGCATTCAATCGATCGGAAAATCATTGCAGTGTTAGATTGCCCAAGTTGAATCTTCCAACGTTTTCCGGCAAATACGATGAATGGTTTCCATTCTACGATTCATTTAATTCAATTATACATTCAAACGCGTCAATCAGTGACGTACAAAAGTTACAATACTTAAAGTCTACACTTACCGGTGACGCGAGTGGCGTAATCAGTGCATTAGAAATTTCCGCCGCAAATTATCAAATAGCATGGGATATTTTAAAGGAACGTTATGATAACAGACGAATGATCGTTCACACGCACATTAAAGCAATATTAGATTTACCCTCGCTCACCAAGGAAGATTCAACCGAGCTGCGTCGAATCGCGGACGGGGCAATCCGACATGTTCAAGCCCTCAAGGCACTTAAATGTCCCACGGCGCACTGGGACGATCTGTTAGTATACATTCTAACCTCAAAATTCGATCCACGTACATTACGAGAATGGCAGTCCTCTTTAACAGGTACTGAAACTCCCACATTTAAACAATTTAACGATTTTATTTCTCAACATTGTTTGGTGTTAGAGACCACAAACAAGGTCAGTCTCGCTTCCAAGGACACCAACAAAAATTCACAAACCAACGCAAAACGACAATCTACATGTGCAGCAACAGTCAAATCCAAGTGCAACTATTGCAAGGGCGAGCATCCCATGTATTATTGCAAGGAGTTTTTGGCACTGCCAATCAAGCAACGGGCGGTAGAGGTACGCAATCGCAAACTATGCGTCAACTGTCTCCGCTCTCCGATGCATTCATTGGACAAATGCACATCTAGAGGTTGCAAAATTTGCAATATCAAACACAATACGTTGTTGCATACGAGCACCAGCTCGGCGGAGGATCACTCCGGCACTTCCGGCACAGGGGAATCAAGCATACAAAATTCCACGACAGCCGTGACGACACATTCGTCGAACATTCAAGGCAAAGATCACATAATGCTTTCCACAGCTGTGGTCAATGTCATAGCCTCCGATGGCACATCACATTCATGTCGAGCTTTACTAGATTCAGGATCTCAAGCAAGTTTCATTTCTAGACAACTCGCCGCAACTCTTGGTTTACCACTACGCCCGCTAAACGTCACAATATCTGGTGTCAACAGTACCTCATCAAATGCTACAATGGCAACCAAGGTAACACTGCAATCCAGATTAAATTCTTATTGTAGGACGATAGACTGCATAGTAACAGAGCGGATAACCGAGAAGCTTCCACTGACTACTTCAAGGCGTGGAGACTACAACATTCCTCGAAACCTCAAGCTAGCGGACCCCCATTTCAACGTTTCCTCCAAGGTCGACATTTTGATCGGAGCAGAAATATTTTGGGAACTACTTTGCATAGGACAAATCGAGGCCACTCACAGCCATCCAACTCTACAAAAAACGAGACTAGGATGGATTCTGGCTGGACGTCGCAGCATCACAGCGGCGCCCGCAGAAAATGTGCAAGCATTCACCACCGTCATATCCAATGCTCAACTGCACGATCAACTAACACGGTTCTGGCAAATTGAACATCTCGGCAATCAAGTCGTGAACAACAAGGACGATGCTTACTGCGAGGAGCATTTCGAAGCTAACGTTGGCCAGAACGAACAGGGCAGATACATAGTAAAATTTCCAATCCAGGAAGAATTAATTGGCAACCTTGGCAACACAAGGGACATCGCATTACGACGCTTACAAGGAACAGAGCGTCGGTTCATACGAGATCCCCACTTAAGGGACCAATATGTCCACTTCATGGACAAATATTTAAAACTGGGACACATGAAGGAAGTCAGCGTGTCTCCACTTGAGGATACAGCATCTTTCTACTTGCCTCATCATGGCGTCTTCAAAGGCGCTAAACAATCATCCAAGATTCGTGTCGTTTTCGACGCTTCAAGTAAGAGCGACACAGGATTATCATTAAACGACGTTTTGAGAATCGGCCCAGTGGTGCAGCAAGATCTGATGTCAATCGTGATGCGATTCCGCACCTTCGTTCACGCTTTGATCGCAGACATCATAAAAATGTACCGACAAGTGCTCATACACCCTTCGCAAACATCTCTTCAAAGAATTTTGTGGCGCAGCGACTCCAAGGCGAACATCAAGACATACGAACTGATGACAGTGACCTATGGCACGTCATCGGCTTCTTTCCTCATAACCAGGTGCATCAAACATCTAGCCGATCATCACTCATCTACGTTTCCCATTGGATCAGCGTGTATAAGGCGCGACTTCTACGTCGACGATCTACTAACCGGTGCAGACACCGTCCAAGAAGTGGAGACTCTTCGAGATGAAACGATCGAACTATTAAGGCTAAGCGCATTTGAGCTTGGAAAATGGGCTTCCAACACCCCGGAATTGCTGGACGCAACACTCAGTAAAAATGACAAACCCGTTGTCATCGACGACGACGAAAGCGCCCACTTGGGGATCAAATAGAACGCCAACACAGACACGCTACATTTTTTATACAACCCGGTCATGTCACATGACGCAATTTCAAAACGGAAAATTCTATCGGACGTTTCTAAATTATACGATCCGTTAGGCTTACTTGGTCCAATCATCGTCATCGCCAAGTTGATACTACAAGATCTCTGGCGAGCAGGCATCGATTGGGACGAGTCAGTTCCTCAGAACTTACACGCACGATGGATTACCTTCAAGTCGCAGTTGACGGAGCTCAACCGACTAGCAATTCCCAGACGCGTCAAATACAGCATTGAACGTCGACATATACAAATACATGGCTTCTGTGATGCCAGTCAAAATGCATATGGAGCCTGCGTGTACATACGGACTGAGCTCGATGCGAACAAGTATCGTTCAGAACTTCTTTGCTCCAAATCAAGGATTGCGCCGTTGAAGGCTGTATCATTGCCAAGGTTGGAACTATCTGCAGCGCTTCTGCTGGCACGGCTGATGGACAAGGTCGGATTCAACAATTACATTGAGCTGGATATCCTCAGAATCACGCATGTTTTCAGTTTTCGTTGCAAACCGCATAGGAGAAATTCAACGGTTGACTCAAGCGACGGATTGGCGACACGTACCGTCCGGTCAAAATCCAGCCGACTTACTTTCACGAGGTTCAAATCCAAGCGACTTAATTCATGCAACTACTTGGTGGAAGGGTCCCGACTTTCTGCAACACAATGAGAATCTCTGGCCCACCAATCAATTTCTACGTCAGGAGGACACCTCCGAACTTCGAAAAATATACGTTAACATTGCAGTCGTTGACACCAGTGTCATAGAAGACACACTCAACAAGCATTCAAACCTTGACAGAGCCTGTGTGGCATATTGCTTGAGGTTCTTACGAAGACCTGCGGGCATTACAACACACTTTGTCTCCCACGAAGAAACCGCGGCAGCATTGCAACTAATGTGCAAGGTTGTGCAACAGCTTTCATTTCCCGAGGAGTACAAGGCCTTGAGCAGCAACAAGAGCCTCAGTACATCCAGTGGGATTTTGACACTCAATCCATTTCTCGACGATGGATTAATTAAAGTTGGAGGTCGATTAAGGCATTCAAATCTAACACAGGACGCGCGTCACCCGGTGCTGCTACCGAAAAATCACGAGCTATCAAGACGAATCATCACGCAAGCGCATATACGTAGCTTACATGCCGACACCCAGGCAACGATGGCCGCCGTCCGACAGCAATTTTGGCCTTTATCATTGCGATCTCTAACACGAAAAATCATTTTAAGGTGCGTTAAATGTTTCAAGGTTAAGCCTGTTCATTCAGAAACCATTATGAGCTCCTTACCTCCTAGTCGCATCACTGTTTCCCGACCATTCTCGTATTGCGGCGTGGATTACGCCGGTCCGTTAACTCTGCGAGAGGGAAAACGCAGAAACGCGCATACTCACAAAGCATACATCGCCATGTTCGTATGCTTCGCTACCAAAGCGGTACACATAGAACTAGTCAGTGATTTAACCACCGACACGTTTTTAGCAGCCTTCAAAAGGTTTATATCGCGCAGAAAAAAGCCTTCCCACATGTGGGCAGACAATGGCACTACTTTCGTAGGTTCCCATCATCGTTTGCGCGAAGTCTCTAATTTTCTTGAAAAGGAGTGCACACAAAATGAAATCCAGTTATTTTTGCGCGAACAGCAAATAACATGGAACTTCATACCACCCAACGCTCCACATTGCGGAGGACTCTGGGAAGCCGCGATAAAATCGGCAAAATTTTACTCATATCGTATAATCGGCAATGCTCATCTAACCTTCGAAGAGATGCAGACTATTTTATGCGATATAGAAGCGATATTAAATTCACGGCCCATCGCTCCATTGAGCAAAGATCCCAATGACCTCGCTTATTTGAACCCCTGACATTTTCTAATCAGCACTACCGTAGACAGTTTTCCTTGCCACGATTTGAGCGACATAAGCGAAAATAGGCTCGTTCGTTGGCAACGCGTAGAACAATTAAGGCAACATTTCTGGCGACGGTGGAGTTCAGAATACCTCCACACCTTACAAGCGCGTTCCAAATGGAAGATTAGCAAGGGGGATCAATTAAAGATCGGTCAAGTCGTATTAATAAAACAACAGGGGTTACACCCTCTGCATTGGCTGTTAGGGCGCGTACAAGGCGTTCATCCAGGTACAGACGGCGTTGTAAGAACCGCTGAGATAAAAACAGCAAAGGGCATTCTTACAAGACCATTAACTAGAATAGCGATATTACCTATAGATGACTCCAGCGAGAAACGCTAGACATCAAATATGTTTTTGTTTTCGCGCAACGTTATCATGTTATTATACTCAACCTAGGTTAAGCACATCAAAATTGTTTGCGTTTGCACATATCAAGCATGCAGCGTCGCGCATTTTGTCAACTCTCAACGTTAATTCGTTTCAAAGGTTGTTTCACCTTTCGTTCACATTTTGAAAGCGGAGCCTTTCAAGGGCGGCGGCGTTGTATAATAATTAGTCAAACGTTCATCATTCATTTCATGCATCAGTCACCGTCCGCGAGGATTGTATTCGCGGCATGCACGGTCTCGCGTCATGATCGCATGCCTAATTGCTTTCGGCGCGACACGTATCATTGGAGAGGGCGTACAGAGCTCTCGTGTATGCACAGGGGGAGCACGAGTTCGCTTTTCCGCTACGAAACAACAAGAATATTCGAGAGCAATTCGACGTGTGACTTCCTTCGCATAACAACGCACTTTTGTATCTCGGTGTACGGTCACAAAGTTAATTAGAAATAAGAGAAAGCCAACTTGCTTGTCTCGACCGCATCGCTACCGATCATGATTACTCCGGTGGCACGTGTGACGGGCACATGCTCGTGGCGGCATTCGCCGTTTGTTATACAGTAATTTCAGATTTTTAAAGAACGATTATTAGTCACATTAGAGCGTGAGCGGTGGTTATCTTAGATTCGTGTAATGTTGCCGCCTCACTCACGGAAGGAAGAAAGAAAACGTCGTGGAGGAAGCAAGAAACCACCAAAGAAGATCCCGATTGTGTCCTTAAGGAGCGCGGTACACGCAGGTCGTATTGTTTTGTAACCTCTGATAATTTGGATATTATTTGGTGATTGTCGCACCTTTATTGCAGACGACTCGGAGAGAGACGTGATAAGGAACCGTCTCAGCACGGCCCGAACATCGGCAGCCGCCTCCACTTCTGAGGAGAGCGATAGAAGACCGCTGATCAAGACGGAAAGCCTCGGCCAGCTAATTTGGAAAAGCGCGCCAGAGACTCAAAGGATACGCGACCCGCAGGACTCGTGATTAGTCGCGGGGTTGCGCGACAGCAACAAGCCAATTAGAATAAAGAGCGGCCCGATAGGAGAGGGGCCTAGCAGCCTGCGTGGATCCGCGAATGCTCCCGATTATCACTTGCGCGGTGATCGAGTTCATGTAAAGAAAACACGGGATCTCTGGAGCTTTTGGGAACTGAGAATGCTGTCTACCGTTGCCGAGAAATTTAGAGGCGGAGGTTTTCCTCTGAAGGATCAACGAGGGATCGTTACGTGGTGAGGCGAGCGTTATCTTATAATTTGTATAAAACCACCGATCGCGGTATGTGAAATGCGTCTCGAGTGGATCGCGCGTTACTCGGTATTTCGTGTTAGAGTTCCCGATGTCGTATTCACCGCCTCAAGGCGTTTTAAAGTAATCGTTGCCGTAGGCGCGTGCCATTCGCTCGGACGCTGAGATTATTGAGAAGTATAATTATTGTTGTTGCTCGCCCTCGTTGCCGCCAAGTCACTTGTGTAATTGTTAATTGTTGAGAATTCTTTAAAGCCGAGACTGGCGTTATTGCGCATTAGAGAACCGCTGCCGTCTAATGTAAAATCGTATGTTCTAATTATTCACGAAGTAATTATTGTTAACATAATAAGATCTAGATTTGGTCGTATATTTCTACTCGGCGAAGTATTGCCGAATTTACTTTCTGTAGGCGACGGCCAGTTAATAGTCAGTTTATTGTTATTGCGCCGCATATCAGAGCGCGGAAGGTCAACGCTGTAACGTACTTTCTTTCGAACACTTTTGTACAGTCTCTATTAAATATATCGATTTCTCTTTATTGTTATTATTAATTCTGGTGCATTTATTTCAGCCTCTCCATCGTTCTCCGACAATTTCCCCTCTAACCGCAAACCACTCCCCTCTGCCAATTCCGTTGGCTGAGCTAGTTGTTTAGTTCCGTTGCGAGAATCCGCGTAATCTTTAATTTCTTGTCCGAGCAATTTATCTAACGATTTGTGCGAAGAGTGGCACGCTCTCTCCTGCCTGGCGCCCAACGAATTTTTGATAGCGATTAAGATCTTTGCTGAGTAAAGTAACTTATCAACTACTGTAAATTCTCGAATCACGAAAGAATTAATGAAGAACCGCACTATTACTCCTTTAAGTATTTTGTATTCTAACGAAGAGCAATCGTATAATTAGATTTCTTTTGGAGGACGCGACGAAGTTGTGCCGACACTCAAAGGTACGGTTACAACATATATACATAAGTTATAAAGTTTTATCATTAACAGATTAATATAGTCGTTTAATAAAAGATTGCAACATTTTTTTGTAAAAACAGTAAATCACTCACTACAAGTAAATGTGTGCGTGTGCGTGTGCGTGTGCGATGACACATAATAAAATTAATATAAACAAAATTTACATTATAAAATAATAATTATGAAACAATACCTGTCATGCTCTTTTGGAAATCTAAAAAAATGTCGTTCCACATTAAAACTTTGAACACAATCGTACAGCACATTTTGATCGTTTTTTTCCACTCATATTTATTGTTTTCTTTAGTTTCACTTTGTGATTTAAACTCTCTTCTTCAGCAACACCTGAAACAAAACTAAGATCAAAAGTGCAAAAGTACAAGAGAATAGATAATTTATACAATAGTTGTATAAATTTACTATTCTCTTCGTAATCGTTTCACTTAATTTTTTCCACTTTTTCACTATTTTATTTCCACAAACTTTTCGGTCACAAACTAAATTCGTAATTTCTCGAACTAACACAACTCAAACAGATGGAAATTATACTAATTTCCTTCAAATTTGAACTTTCTAAGCACACACTGGCACACACCTAATCACAAGATCAACAGGATCTTTAAACGGAGCCGTTTAAATGGTCCTGACAAAGAGTGACAGAGAACGAATAAGAAGTGAGAAAGAAGTTTCGGTGGCGCGCATGTGCAGGTTGCTTATTTCGCGCATGCGCACTCCATTTTGTGTGACATAAAATCAGGAGAGTTGCGCTACTGGATATACTGTGGCGAAAGCTAGACGTAGACGATTCGAGAATCAACCGAAGGTTGCACTGTCCCCCTCACATCACCCCTCCGCGTGCAGTCCAAATGCCCAATGACGACCGAATGGCATTGATCCGTGCACAATGCAGTGTGGTAAGGGGGACAGCAAAAGCTAGAAGTAAATGATTCGAAAATCAACCGAAAGTTGCACTGTCCCCCCCCCCACCGCTCCGCGTTCAGTCAAAATGTCTCATAACAGTTGAATGGTTTAAATATCAATCAGGGAATGGAAGTAACTCGTTACTTGTAACGAAGTTACAGTTACAAGTTACTTTTTTGGTAACTTTACTGGTAACTGCGTTACTTTCTTTTTTTGGTAACTGTAACGGTAACGAGTTACATTTTTTGGGTAACGGTAACGAAATTTACAGTTACTTTTGTCGTTACTTTGCACACGATTGAACACGGTTCGATTGGATACATGCTATTTACAGCGCTTATCAATAAGACTTGAAAGCCCTTAGACATTCGGCCGTATGATTCAGTAATTATTTTACACTTCTATCTTCTATGTAATACATAGGACATACAAATATTTCAGTTTGCTGCATATTTTACAGGTTTTAGAATTACAAAATTGTGTTTAAAAAAAATTAAAAAATAAATTAAATAATA